TCTTAAGACTGATGATGTTGATCTCTTGGGCGATGCTCTCTATGGTTCTACAAAAATCTTGCCATAGGTAGAAAATGGGCAAAGTATAAAAGGGAACTGGCATTTCTTACAACTGCATGTAAACAATACAGTTGCCTCAATTAAAAACTATATTTTCATTGCTATTTGTTTCTCAATAAATTTATGGGAAAAAAATAAAAACTATATTTTATGCTACTAATCAGAGATACAAGTCATTTTGCAAGTTTGTCATAAAATAGCAGTTGGTTCTAAAGTAGCTTACAGTATCTTTAGTTTTTTCACTTATAATCTCCTTGGCGCTAAGTGCAGTAAGGTTCTTGTTGTTCATATTAAGGGCAGCAGGAGCTTCCTGCCTGGTCTCCCAACCTATCTCTCTTTAATCACAGATCTGGTTGTTATCGTCCCTTAACATAAAATCCTCCAATGATTTCCCAGGGACAAGGTCCAAGCTGTTTCTCAGGCACCATCTCCGGCTCCTGCCCACACTTCGGCCTTTGATGCCTGCGGCTGGCCCCAAACACGCACTCCTCTCTCAGCCCACACCTCCCAGAATGCCCTGTGCTGCGATCCTCTAGACAAAGGCTGCTTGCTCTCACCACACAGGTCTGTCCAGAGCCTGATCCTGGAGAGCTTCCATAGCCCAAGGAACTCACGTCACAAGGGTAAGACTGCCTATGGCAGGAACTAGGGCACTGTTAGGAGAAGAAGAATCGATTTTCTTTCATAAGAGTTCAGAGGTATGAAACAATGCTATCTGTGCCTACCACACGGAGAGGTTATTCTCAAGGATAAATACAGCAACTACAAAGGGAAAGTAAGCCGAGGAAAAGCGCTACTTTGTCTGCTGATGTCGCATGCACCCAATACCACGGCACAGCTGTGCAGACAGAACTGCACATGGGAAAGGCGAGCTGGAGGTAGGTGTGTGGAGACAGCCCACAGCCAACAATGGGATGTGGGAGGTGGGAAGAGCTGCAGGAAGACAGGAGAGGCTGAGTACAAATCCTCAGAAGGTTCTGGGACAACTGCATGGAACTTCTGGGGGAGCATGTACGACTCTGAGGTACCAAGGTGATTTCCAATGAATATTTTCTTGTGTGAGTTTTTTCTACAGCATAGATTATATCTTCTCATTTAAAAAACCAGCATCCAAGGAACTCAAGCCTACAGGGGCATGAGCAGATTTTGCTTTCACCTGGTGGGTCACCCTGGTACTAGGCCCACTCAGGACATAAGAAGTGACTTAAGCAATGGCCTGTATCTCACCACGGCAAAAGGAGAAGCCTGGATTGGAAGACATCAGTTGAGCCATGCCAAGCCACACAGCTCTGAGAAAAACCCAGGGCAAAGCAAAAAAATGAGGTACAGGCTTCTGTCTTGAGCAGGTCAGTTTATTTCTACTCCACCATGGTGCCACTCCAATAGCATTGAGAGGAAAGAAGGTGAAAACACACAAGAACAAGGAGAGCTGAGGAAAGGTCAAGGAGAACTGGCAAATCATGTCTGCAGAGTCGGGAAATGGAGAGATGCAGAATCAGGGGCCATTTGAGGTGTTTTCTACGGAAAATGAACAGAGAAGACAAAGAGGGCTAAAGGCCAGGCCTACACTTCTGGGCTGGAGTCATAGGTGAAGGCCCAACCCCAGCCAAAGTGAGCGATTCTTAGAGCTTATAGGTATTTCCAGAAGCAGAAGAATGGGAGTCGTTCACCTTCTGTGCATCACCTCCCAGGACACCACTCCAGGCGGTGCTGCAGGATGTCCGAACACCCAAAGACACAGGACAGAAGCCCTGGCCCACATCTCAGGTGGTGGGCGGGGGGCCCACAGCAGCTGGGTGACTGGGGACAGGAACACAGACGTCTCTGGGGCAGAGCCACGAGCAAAGAAGGCAACAGATAGAAATAGTGTGAGCAACAGAAAGGACACCAGCTACCATCGCTCCGAGAAAGGCGGGAGGGAAATTCAGGATCTCTACTCTGAAATTTGCCTATGGCAAGGCAGCTGTGACTCAGAATGGGAAAAGTAAGAGGTTGTAAAACAATGGAGTCATAATCACAGACACTCTTTGACTCTGCAGGAAGTGATATTGTAGGCACTTGCTTTAATACTGTAAACAATGACTAGAAATCCCGAGTATGGAAAAGTGAGGCAGGCTTCAACAGTCACTGGAGAGTCCCTGAAGAACCCAGCACGCTACTCAGAAAAGTGGAAAAAGAGGAAACTGCTGCGATGCAGGTGTGCTACTTACATTATACCTCTTTTGAAACTATCTGATTTTTTAAAAAACTAATATATCATATGGGTTATTTACATTTTATCTAATAATAATTATTAATGATAAGAATAATCACATAGGGCTGGGGAGACAGCTCAGCGGCATAAGGTCCTGAGTCCGATCCCTGGTACCAGAAGCCAGCTAAGGACAGAGCTCAGAGGTAAAACATTTGTCTTCCATATGCAAGGCCCTGAATTGGATCCCTGCAAAACAAAGCAAAAGCAAAAGCAAGCCACTAGTGATGCTTCTTTTGCTGATATTATTAAAAATAAAAATGTCACCGAGTGTAGTGGTACATGCCTGTAATCCCAGTACTCAGGAGGCTGAGGCAGGAAGATCATTGTGAGTTTGGGACCAGCCTGGGCTACAAAGTGAGCTCAAAGCTAGCCTGAACTGCCTAGTGAGACTCTGTCTCAAAAACAAAAACAAAAGCAAGACAAAAAAAAAAAAGTAAATAAAAATTACAATGTCAGAAATGAAGCACTGCCACTCCACATATAAGGAGACAATACATATGCTCTCCCAAACCAGGAAACAGTGTGCTCCAGCCTCCACCTCACTTATAAAGAACTCTCCATTCATTGATTTGAAAAGAGAAAACATTCAGGGTTTTTCCCATGAAATAATGCCACAAAGGTGCTTTGATAAAATCAAAGTCAAATGTTTGACCCTGTAAAACTTTAGTGTGACATTTTCAGCTGATATCAAGTACCACCCCCCCCACCCCTGCCCCATCTATAATCCCTCAAATTGACTGGAGTTTATAATGGACCAACTGGCCCAGGGAGATAGCTCAATAGAATAAGCACCTGCCTGTCAAGCACAAGGTCTTGAATTCAATCCCCAGTACCACAATAAATAAATAAATTAATTAATTTAAAAAATGGACCAACTACCTTCAAATGTGTATCTTCCTTTTCCCTTGAAAGGAGAGAAAGCCTTTAATGGCTACTTCTAAGAGCTCACTTTCTGTAAACACATTAGTAATAATTTTTTTCAAAATGAAGTAGAATCAGAAAGCTGGATGGAACTAAAACCTTGGTACAAAGGAGATCAATCTTTTAGAAAATGTAGCCCTTCATGCTTTGAACAAAAGCTTCAGATCTCTGTGAGTTACTGCTATGGCTTGTGTGTAGGTCCCCTCCCCCCAGCCTCCTGCACCCACAGCTGTGGCTTTTAGGAAGCGGCGGGATCTAGAGTATGTGCTGCTGGGATGGAGGGGGCCCGCCCTACGGCAGGTAGCCGGGATGGAATATGCGGGACAGAAAGAGGGATGCTTGGAGCCAGCTGGTTACAGACTGAAACCTCTACAAACTGCGAGCTGAATTACCCTTTCCACGCTCAGAGGCTGGCTGTCTTGTCTTAACAGTGAGGGAAGTAACCAGGATGGTCACCTCTACCATCTCAGACTGTTTCATGTTCTAGTACCACAGAACCAGGGGCTGCCGGGTGGGGTGGCCCTGGCTTTGGTCAGAAGCTATGAAGAACATCACAGGGATGGAAACAAAAGACACAGGGTACGGATGGGGTGCGGTTTAATGAGAAATGGAAAGGAATCATCTACTTCATTAAATTTCCAAAACAGGAATTTACTGAGAAACAATTAGAATAAATGATTAACAGCTAAAGTGAACACATAAACAAATGTCACTGCCTTCTTCAAAAGTGAAAATAGCAAGACAGCTAAGATAATTGTGCTGCCAATTTCTATGGATTTATTGAAAGGAAGAGTTAATGCTTAATAGTTTGAGCAATATCTGATAATCTGAACAACTACTTTGAAGACTATAATATGCAATACAATGCCCATTATTAATTTCCTATTATCTTGTTTTCAAATTCTGTATCATTTTATTGTTTTTTCATTCTCTTTAAAACGAAAGTGAAAATAATGATGATAACAAATACTAACTAGTAACAGGTAGTCTTCTAAGGGCTTTACAAAGAAACTGAGGCACAGAGATAAATTACATTCCCCAGGTTTTACTTGACGAGTAGCATGTGGCAGAGCTAGGATTTCCATGGCCCTCTCCGAAGATGCCTTCTAACATAGACTTCTTAGTGATTTCTTTTAATGACTGATAAAATTTTACAGAGGAGAAACGTTAATACTAACTTTACCCTAGATAGCTGATTTTTAATCTAAGAAAATGAAACATGTGGCACAGCATATGATAAACAAAGCTGCATATTGAGGGCTGGGGATACAACTCAGTGGTACAGTGCCTGCCTGGCAAGTGCAAGGCCCCGAGTTCAATTCCCGCCACCCAACCCCCCTGCAAAAAAAGTTGCATATTCAATAAACCACATCAGGAAAATTTATTACCCTGATTAATTCTATACAAAAGCTCTATTTTCTAGGATAAGGTGCTTGCTGTTTTGTGCGCACCTTTCTATCTCTCTCCCTCTCTGTACCCCATACTATATGTATATAACTAAATATATAAATACTTAGTAAGTTATCGCCATACATTTTTAAATTCCTTTAATTTGCACAAATAAGTTTTCAAAATGGTAGAATGACTATTCGCCAAGTACTTTTTTAACCTCATTTAGGAAGTAAGTGCTATTTAAGACCATGATGGAAGCAAATAGCTTTGTACAGGAGAAATAATTATTTAAAAAGACTAGAGTACACTGTGACAAATAAAAGGACACTGGAAAATATGCTAACCGCCAATACAGAATAACCCCTCCCCTTACCTGCCAGGTAGAGCGCAAATGATATAAATCTATGATAGCGAATGAGGAACTGAAGTTGCTCTTCTCTCTGAACATACGTGGCAAAATAATCAGCAACCGTCTCTCCATAGAAAAAGTAGTTCACACAGAGCAGAAAGTACCTAGGATTTACAAGCAGTTAGCTTTTTTCATACCTGAAACTCTCCCCCCTCACGTGCACCAGATGTCTGATGATGGGGACACAAAGATCAAACCCAGCGCTGCGCTCGGATGGCCACAGGTGAGCAGGGCTTAGCCTTTCCTGGCTAAGTGCTTAGTAGCTATGAGTTACGCCTAAAGTGTCTAAAATATTCAAACGTTTACACGTTAAAGCCACTTAATGATTTTTCCTTTGTTTACGTGCATTTGCATATACCAAATATTTTGTGTTCTCACGTCCAGTGGAGAGAAATAAGGCAAAAGATAAGTAAACGTCTGATAAATTAGGATCATGAAGTACATAAAATGTGTCTGATATAGCACTGAGTTTTTAAAAATAAGAATGATGTTTAGATGTGTTTACAAAGAATAAAGAGATTTTTTAAAAGTTGTGTTAGAGAGTGCTAAAGGTGATTTTCCTCTTTGCAAATTTCTGGCCTGTTCTTTTCATTTATCATTTGCCAAAATCAACCCACAATGGAGACCAACTAGCAGCTATGGGCCAATCAGGGTGCTTCTTTGATGAGCTCTAGACATGAACCTGAGTTCACGAGTGAAGCATCTTCGCGTCCACTCACCAGCTGAGTGTTCTGAACCAGGGAAGCTCGTAAGAATGGTAGACTCTGTACCCGATGGTGATGATCTCATGGAAGCACTTCACTTGGATCCCCAGAACCTGAAACCAAGAGAAGACACTGACACCCATCTCATAATGCCCATGTCTGTGCCTAGTCATTTAAAAGCAACTTACCATTAGTACTTCAGAAACCAATTTTGAATTATTTCACAACACCAAAAATGCAATATTCTATGTCTCTGAAATCAAGTGATGCTCTAAAGGGGCAAGAAAACATTTCATTCAAAAAGCTCCAGGAGACCGCTTGCAAAGTAGGAGGCAGAACTGGAGTTAAAAGGTGAAGGAATAATAATTAAAAAAAGGTCAAGGGACACAGTCTGGCTGGTACATTTACTATACCTTTTCTATCATTACTGAATCATAGTCTTTGGACCTAATTGTTCCACTTCGTCTTTCAAGTTACCTGAGAAAGTGAGGACCTATGAATGCTTCCCTGTGTACACTTATCCTCAGCCATACATGCAGTAGCTTCACTAAGGTTACAGACCCCCTCAGGACAGGTAGGGACCACAGCTTCCACCAGCTGCTAGTGTGGGAACCGACTTTGCTTTCTCACAGCTGACCCTAGTACCCCTGCTGATAGCTCTGGTCAAGAGGAGTAGTACAGCCACAGGAATAAGCTGTCTTCCAGGAGTCCAGAGGAGGGCCAGTTGGGGGAGCTCATGCACCTCAGTGTGTGCAGGGTCCTGAATCCACACCTGTGTGATAGGTCTTCACCATCCTTTATGCTGCTGCACCTACTGATCTGGTAAGGGTCCCTCCTCGGGTACAGCATCTTACTGGGTGCCTAGCTTCAGTTGATTCCAAGACTAGAAGCACACATGGAGAGCTGAATCCTTTATGCCATCCACTCAGAGGTTGGAATCTGAGTGGAAGCAGGAGACCTCTTCATCCCTAGAGAGCACGGCTCTCATTCGCACAGCCTTGGGCTAAGAATAGATTTGTTTTCATTGGTTTAAAAATAAAAATGTATTAGTGACAGAACCATAAAGTTGAAGTGAAGCATTACTATCGGATCCTTTATAGAAAAAGTTCACTAACTTCATTTGGAGGATACACTTTGCAATTTCTTTTAAGATTTCCACATCTTCCCTTTCCAAGACTACTCATGATATTCTTACTTCCCCCATTATATTGACTGCATGTCCAGTCACGTACTTGAAAAGTAAGTGTGTTCCCTCAGTCATGTGATAAAGAAATACCACACTACGTTTCTATGAAGAATACTTTAGGAAAACACTCTACATATGTCATAAAGGCAAGAGGATATTTAAATGTTGCCCTTCAGATAACCTCTGTTATAACATCAAAATTCATTTAAAAAAAGTCAGAAGGACAATGGTCTGTGTTTAGATAAAATAGCAAAGCCACACTGTTTATGACCCAAAGAGCCCTTAAAATTTCCAATGCACTGAGGCCATCCCTTTGAGCACACTTGCTGGATGGAGCACAACTGTCAGCATCATACATAGTGTCTTCCAGAAGCCTGGAGAAAGTGCTTTTATTACGACACATATACCTTGCAAGGAAAATTAGTGTAAAATTCCTGGGAAAACAGAAAATATGGAATTCAAAGCACCAGAATTAAAGTCCTTAAAATATCTTTATATATCTAGGGCTGGGTGATAGCACAGAAACTGTCACTCCACGTTGTCAACACTGGCAGCCAGTGTACTCGGTAGAATGCTGCTGACTCAGTTAATGTCTCAAGGGCCCACAGCAATCAGCACACCACGCTGACCCCACTGGCTCCTGAGGACCCACAGAGACAGCGCTTAGAGGGGAGGCTCCCAGTGGAAGAGCCAAACGGTGATGCTGGGGCACACATCTGTGGCCAGGGCAGGGTGGCAACACTGGGACCCGGGACCCGGGAAAGGGTGTGTGCCAGTCACATCTGCAGAGGGGGATGGGACATGGTAGGGGACAGCAGCTCTGAGTTGCTGGAATACACGGGGGTGGGGAGAGTGCTGGGCCTCACTGGGAAGGGTGGGAACCAGCATGCAGTGCTGTTCAAGGGAGGGCATGAACACAAAGGTGGTGCGAACAGAGACAGTAACATAGGCAAGCGACACAACATGGTCCCACAGAGCATGGAGGAGCAGCCAACCAGCAGAGATCAGGGGTGGAAGTCAAGATTTGAAATGTGGTCAAAATGTATGGTGAATATGGACATCTAGACGCATGACTGCTGTGCAAGACCCACTGTCATGACTCTGCTGTCAGAATCCTGCACCTCACTTGCAACGCTCATCTTGCTGTGCCGGTCGCTTTCTGAAGCTCTGCTAGAAGTCCTCTTCTGTCAGTGCCTTCACAGTCTGTGAGAAGAGACACAGTGCCCGCCAGTGGGAGAAGGGAGTCATAGAAACACTCCGCTCAGCCTTGTCCATCTTATTCCCTGCATCTGGCACCATTACTTCCTCCAGAGTCAGAGGAGCATGAAAGGGGAGCATTCTGAATCCGTTTAGGACACTGAGGTGGCCACGACAGCGCAGCTAGAGACACGTAAGGGGGTTTCCCCATCTATCAACAGTACATTGTAATTAAGCTACTGAAGAAGTAGAACTAACTGGATATGGGGGCACAGGATAGGTGTGGCCGGGTGTCAGGGGGCTGAAAGCAACACACACTGCCACCCAGGAAGGCAAAAGAAAGCACACAGAAGCAAGCGGGATAGGGGTGGAGTCCACATTAGGATCGGGACCTCTAGTGGCTCTGGATTTTCCAAATGCAAGTAGCAATTTCCATTTTGGGACTCGTTCTGAGAAACTAATCCTATAGTGGTGGCGGGGGATGTAGCTCAGTGTAAAGGCCCTGGGTTCAATCCCCAGTACCAAAGACTTCAAAAATCTTTTAGCTATTTTTTCAAAAATAATCAATCTATATAGTATTCTTTCAGCTCTCATAATAGGAAAAAAAAGCCTGATTGAAAATAAATTATGTAAAGTGGGTACTTAATTTTATAATAGTTTCCAAAAATATTGGGGAGAACCTCTTACACTACTTTTATATGTTCACATCTTCCTTCAAATCAAAGTGTGCTCTAAGAGCTGTATTACTTAGTGCAATTCTTAGCTGGGATTACAACAGCTGTCACAAGTTAGGAAAGTGCTCTCCTTAGAGTTCTAGCTGAGAGTTTCCTGACACTACATGAATTAGTTATTAGTGAGTGCTGACATGATAAAGCAAAGGCAAGCTCAGAAAAAAACATTCTTCTCAAAATATAAAGTTAGATCAAGTTATTCTTTTTCTTTCTTTCTTTTTTTTTTTTTTTTTGCGGAACTGGGGATTGAACTCAGGTCCTTGTGCTTGCCAGGGAAGC